TTATGAAGTAATCTCTAAGCATATAACAATACTTATTAATCTATAAATTACTTATGAAGTAATCTCTAAGCTTTCCTAGTTCTGAGTGTAAGTCTTCTCCCTTTTTTTTTTGGTTTGGTACTCGGGATCAAACTTGGGACCTTGAGTTTGCGAGGCAGGCAGCAGAACCACTGAGCTAAATCCCCAGCAACTAGAAGTCTTGTTCTACTTATTTTACTCTAATATGTTCATTCTTCCTATAGTCTTAAAACCAACCAGATACTTTTATAAATACAAATTATGAATTACCATTAAATTTTATGAAGTTCTGTCCAAATAAGGCACTATTTTAACACAAGAGCCTTTCAAGTTTAAATTCTTACAGTTCTGCCCACTTCTATTGCTCTGAAATTATCTGCAATTTATGACTGACTAGCATGTTTCCATTTACTATAAATTGGCAATTACTGTCCTTTTCTCTTTTTGGTATCAGGGATTGAACTCAGGACCTTGTGCTTGCAAGGCAGGTGTGGTGCCACTGAGTTAAATCCCTAGCCCTTTGGTCCCTTTCTGTAGGCCAGAGGGCCTGGTTTTGTTTTGTTTTTTAGAGAAGATCTGGCCATGTAGTTCAGGCTGGCCTTGAATTTGTGGCAATCCTCCTGCCTCAGCCTCCCAAGTGATGGGATTACAGGCATGTGGCACCATGCCTGGATCCTGTTTAATTTTTTTGATGTCAGATGCTTGAACCATGAAATGTCTTCCTGCTTATCAGATGTTCAGAAATCTCAGGGTTTTTTTTTTAAAGACCTATTTAAAATATATGAATTTTATTAATTTCATACATGTAGTAAACATTGGCTATAAGTAATCTTTCCCAGGAAGGGTCTATAGTAACATGGTTCAAGTTGCTGTTAAGCTTACTATTCTCACAGATGTTGTAGAAGTTACTGTCTTGCTAAAGAGTAAGCATATCTGCCCTTGTTCCCCACTTTAAGGAGAAAGCATTGTATCTTCTCCATTTATATAAGGCATTCTCGCTGGAAGTATGGAGTACATGTCTTTAA